TGTCAAGTATAACAGTTTATTCTCCTCATCAGAATCAGAATTCAAGATTTCTCGGTATTAGAAGAACAATCGATATCTGTGAAATCATCCTGAAAGGTTACTTCATAATCAGATGAGTTGTTATCAGAATCAACATGTTGCCTGAATGCAAGCTTTTCAAGAGCCTATACTATTGAATTTTATTCTCAAGAGATTTTTGTGACATTATATCTACATTTGTCAAAGATGATAGATTTCTTTCATTTGAAGAAGAAAAATCTATTGGGTTTTTACAATTGAAGAAATACTCAATTCACCAATCTGAAATCAAATAACTCAACATTCATGCATCATATTTTAAGTGTTTACAAAAATAGGTGCATTTTCATTCATTTTCATCTATGTTGAATTTTTAACAGGAATTTCAAAGATTTTAGCAAAGATTTGAATCCATCACTTGATGGATCAATCTTTTCCAGAGAAAGAGTTCATAATGAGAAGAACTCGTCATCTGCAGAAGGAAGAAGAAGTTCATAATGAGAAGAACTTGTTCAATCTTTTGCTTGAATTCATCAAATTGATGGATCATCATTTCCAGAGGAAGAGTTCATAATGAGAAGAACTCGTCATCTGAAGAAGGAAGAAGAAGTTCATAATGAGAAGAACTTGTTCAACCTTTTGCTTGAATTCATCAAATTGATGGATCATCATTTCCAGAGGAAGAGTTCATAATGAGAAGAACTCGTCATCTGAAGAAGGAAGAAGAAGTTCATAATGAGAAGAATTTGTTCAACCTTTTGCTTGAATTCATCAGTTGATGGATCAACATTACCAGGTAAAGTTCATAATGAAAAGAACTCATCTGAAGAAGGAAGAAAAAGTTCATAATGAGAAGAACTCATCAAGAGCTTATTCAACCTTTTGAATGACTCTATCAAAAAGGAGGTCATCATCATCCCCAGCAGAAAGTTCATAATAAGAAGAGCTTATTTGGAGAAAAAGAAGAATTTATTCAATATCTCCATAATGATCAAAGTAAAGTCAAATGGATAAAAAATTTTATTATCTTTTCATCTTTGCCCTATTCTTGTTAACACAAGAATGAGCAAAGAGGGGCAGCTGAAGATACTATTTTTTTTATCCATTTTATTATCATTATTATTAATATTATTATTATCATTATTAATTATTATCATTATTATTATTATTATTATTATATTTTTATTATTATTAAATATATTAAATACAAACCAATTACAATTAAACCGGCTCAGTTACAAACCAACTGAAACCGGTCCAAATCCAACCGGAAACCCTAAATATTTGGGTTTCCAGTTAGGGTTTCCTAACCCTAATCATCCTCAGCCGCCTCATCACAGCCGTTGGATCTGGCACGATCCAACGGTCCACATGGCTCCAGAGAGGAACCCTAGGGTTTGATACCCTAGGGCCACGCGGCGCCGCTCCAGCTTCCACGCGGCTGCCGACAGCCCTCGCCGCCTCCGCCGCTGCCACGTCCCAGCCGAAGACTCCAGAAGCTAGAACACCGACCGTCCACGCCAGGGCTACGGGGTGAGTCACCACTGGTAGTCCGGTGACTCACCGAAGCCCCCTCTTCGGACCGGTCCGAGACGAACACCGGTGGTGGCTATAAAAGCCACCACCCACCTGAAAAAAAAAAAAAAGGACAGAGAAAAAAGACAGAACCGGAGAGAAAGAAAAAAAAAAGGACAAAGAAAAGAAAAACAAACAAACTATACCAACGATCTCAGCAGCAAAGAACCAGAAGAAAAAAAAGAAAGAAAAAGGAAGAAGAGGCTTACCAAGGAAACCTTGACCGTCGCCGGAAACACTGAACATCGCCGGAGAACCAAAAATACCGAAGGTACTTTTGTAGATTTGCTCCGATTGGGAGCCTTTTAGGAAGAAATAACACCGGAACCGTCCTTAGGACGGTCCGATCTATATATTAGTGTAAAGAAAAATTTTTCCGGCCACCGGATGCGGTGGCCGGCGGTGATAAACACGGCGGCACACGGTGGCCGACCGGTGACCGGCTTCCCTCCGGTGAGGGAAGCTAGAGAGAGGCGAGAGAGTTTTAAACTCTCTCGGTTTAGAGAGAGAGAAGGAAATGAGGAATGAAATGGTTGGCCCTTCGGGCCAACCGGTTTGGGACTTTTATAGTCCTTCCCGAACGACGTCGTTTCGGGAAGGACTATGCGCGTAATTACAAAATAGTTAAATCCCTTCCACAGTCCTTCATATTTGTAAACTTTACATTTTGGTCACTAAACTGAACTTATAAGAATTTTAATTCGGTCTTTGAATTTTAATTTTATTCATTTTAGTCTTTTTAATTAAAATAATATATTTAGGATAAATGATAGATTTAATCCCTTAACTTTAATAAATAATTCTTTAGTCCCTAGTTCATACTTTTAATTTATTTTATTATAAAATTTGAATTTTAGATAAGTTTATTTTGGTCATTAAATTATTAAATAAAAAAAATATATATTTAAACCCTATAATTTCAATTAATTAATAATTAGTAATTAGTTTTATTTTTATAATTTAGTTATTAATTTTATATGTCTTTATTTATTTTATTGTTTTTAAATATATTGTTTAATAGAATTATATTTATTATATTGTTAAATATTTTGATATATATTCATAAATATATATAATAAATATTAACTTTTAAATATTTATTTTTAATATCGAAAAAAAGGACAGTCTTAATACAACTGGATGTCCTATTTTGATGTTTTAAAATTAAACAATATTATTTAAATTAATATTTATCAATATCAAAGAAAAGAGCTGTCTTAAGGCACCTAGAAGTTCTTTTCGGATATTTTTAAATAAATATTTTTTTTACAATTTTGAAATTATAAGATTATAAATTAAATATATTTTTGAATTTTTAAATTTTTAATAATAGAGACAATTTATAATTAAAAAGTACCAATTTTGGGCGTTGTAGGGGTGCTAATCCTTCCCTAAACGTAATCGACCACGAATCCCTCTTTATTATTAAAAAGAATGAATTTTTGGTTATAAAACGCAGATCAGTTCAATTTTTTAATTGATGTTTTCTTAAAACTCTTTTAAAAAATAATTTTTAGGTATTCGACCTACCTGATCCAAAAAGGCCGATGGCGACTCACAAATTATTTTCAAAATTATTTATTAATATTAATTTCCCCGCCAAATTTTAATATTTCGTGCCCGGACGAAAACCGGTTACGACAGCATTACCAATAAAGTTGATATTAAAATTTAACCAATCTAGAAAATAATTTACTTTAATAAGATTCAATTATGCCAATCAAACATGAGAAACAAAATATAATTTTTTTTTGTAAAACCAATTACGATTAGCACACCTTAAATTTGTCAGCAAAACAAAAGAATAATATTACAGTGTTCATATGATTAAAATATTTCGAGACAATCGGTTGCATATCACTCATGAAAATTCATAACAATATAATTCTGTAAATGAAAAGAAAAATAGACAAATTTAAATCCAGGTCAGCAGTTATGTGTAGATAAAAGTCTTTCAAGCACATACAGAATTATAGAAATTTTATCATTAATCATTGTACACTTCTTGTTAATGGTGATTAATAATAATATTACCATCATTTATAAGTATATCATTAGGTTATATCATTGTTAATCATGAATTTTCACAATATATTAGATAAAAAAATAATTTTCAATTAAAATGCAACTCTTCATATTTATACATATTATCACTTAAGGTAATTCCGCTATGAACTAATTAGTTAACCTAAGATAATTATTTACACAATTAAATAATTGTTTAAAACAATTCATTAACACAGTATTCATTAATTTAAAAACAATAAAAGTTTTTGAATAATAATGAATTAAAACCAAATTAACCTTTTTTGTTTAAAATCAACTTACTAGACAAATCTTAGGGGCTTAAAGTAATTTTCCCATAATCTTAGAAGATAAAGGAGGGAAGGCAATACAAGCAAATTAGCATAACCAATGGGTTTTGAGTTTCTCAGCCTCCTAAGCACTATCTCTCTCTCTTTCTTGCTTTCACTCCAGCTAAATCCCATTTAAGATTGCAGTCAAATCAGCTGTTCAAAAAGACTATTCCGTTTTCTTTGGGTTAATTCCAAATAAGTGCCAAAACTATCCCTTTTGTGTTAAATGCCTACAATTTTTTTTACCCATCCGGGTTTATAACATTACAAACGTTTTCTTTTTAGGTGCTCAGATCATCAATTCCGTTAGTTTTCCTCATTAAGTGACACGTTTCAACACCTGATAATTTTAAAAAAATTATATAAAATTATATAAAATTTTAAAAATTAAAATTATATATTTTTAGAAAAGAAAAAACATAAATTTTGAAATAAATCCTAAACTTTGAAAACTTTTATTTTAACCCCTAAAATCAAGTCGATCGCCGCCCTTTACCGTCAAAGAAGCTCCACCCAATCTCCCCTCCCCTGGAGATCGTAACCCTTATGAAATCGTGACCGGTTGACGCTCAATCGACCACAAATCAATGTTTTAAATCTCACGGTCTCTAGGATAAAAATTACGATCTCACGCGATTTCGACGATGAATAGATGACAACTACGACGACATATATCTAGGATGATGTCAAGGACTACGTCAGCGATGGTGATGGTGACTGGAGAAGGCACTGGCGGCGGTAACCGGAGAAGGCACTGGCGGCGGATTAAGGTTAAGTTTTAATATTTTGGGATGTTTTATAATATAAGAAAAGTTAGTATTTTTTTTATAAATATAACAATATTTTTAATATTTTTATAAAAAATAAATTTTAAAATTATCAGATATTGACACGTGATACTTAACAAAAAAAATTAACGATTTTGACAATCTAAACACCTAAAAGAGTAACGTTAGGCAACCAAATAGATAAAAAAAAAACTGTATGCACTTATTTCGGCATTAAGCCTTTTCGTTTATGATTTTATTCTACTAAAACCATTTACACACGTCAAAATCTCCATTCTTTTCCCCTTTTACATACTGCTCAGCATATCACAAAAACATTTTGAATAAACATGAAATCTGCTCATGGGATCACTCTTCTTATCCTGTATCTGCTCTTTTCAGCTCACGTCTTAAATTACAGTGAATCTACCCTAGTAAGTAAAAAAAAAACTTTGCTTTGAATTCCATAGATCCCTTTGCTTTTCCATGTCCAAGATTTGAACTTTTTTTTGTCTATTTTCTATGGGATTTAAAGTTGGTTTCTTGAATTTAAGGTAAATGGGTCTTCGGAAATGGTCCCATTGGTGGACAATAAGACGGTGGAGATGATGACGACGATGATGATGTTCAACGAGAGCAGAAGAAAGCTGGGGAGTTTCCAGATATGTGCTGCTTGCACCTGCTGTGGTGGGGCTAAAGGTGCTTGCTTGCCCTCCCCTTGTTGCTATGCCATCAATTGCAACATTCCAAACAGGCCTTTTGGTTTCTGCTCTTTTACTCCCAAGACCTGCAATTGCCTTCGATGCCATATCTAGTTCTCAAGCTTTTATCATACCTATATTTCCTAATTTTGGTTTATTTTAAAAAAAGAAGAAGAAGAAAGATTCTTGCTTCCGTTGGGAGTTTGAGGATGAGAATATCTGTTCTTTTTTTACCATTGTTTAATAATTTTATTGGGAGGTTGCTGTTTCCAGGTTAGTTCTTTTGTCTATAATTTTTGTTTCTTCAAGGAAGTAGCATTGCCTGGAAATAGTCATATGCTAAGGAACAATTGGCCTTGTTTAGTATGACAAAGATTCAAGGTGTCTATTATTTTACTGTTGCCGTTGTTTTACTTTTATTGTTTAATATAATTCACATGTTTAATGTATTAGTAGGGTGTGTTACGCTGAATCCAACTTGGATCAATGTAAGGAACTCTTATTTTAGTATCAATTTGCTTTTGGATAGTGTTTTGTTTATTTTAATCCTCTCTCTCTCTCTATATATATTATGCTAATGTTGTTATTGCTTCAATTATGCCTCACACTGGATCTTGCACAGTATCTTAAACCATAGTAGCTTTATAGATAAATATCCCAGCTGATAGTGTTTAAGAGAAAGCGAACTGATGGAACTTGCTAGTTTGACTTTTTGTGTCGATGCAGTGTTGGATCTAGAGAGATATGTTTTCGATTTTCTAAAATTTTATAAATTAATATTTTTAATATAAAATATTGTATCCAATTATGTGTTATATGTCGAGTAGTCGGTCAAATCTCTAAAAGATCATAATCTCCCATTAGAGTTTATCTTTTGTACTTAATCGAGAGTTCGTAAATTCGATTATTCGACAAACGACAAAAGTATTCTTCCTAAAGAAGTTGAAAGACCCTCAACAATGTGAAATGCCTTAAAAACAATGACGAATTGTATGGGGAAGAAAGGAAGTGCCTTAAAAATGTAGGGTCGGTGGGAGTTGGGTAAAGACCTTTAAGCTTGATTTCCACTTGGTCACATAGGTTAGTGTTGTTGGGGGATGAGAGGTGGGAGCAGGGTTTTGGACTTTAGAGGCACATAAAATTTGTAACGTTATTTTATTGAGAAGAGTGAATAAGGGATCTCATTGACCTTATCATCATGATGATGCCAATATGAAACAGCCCATGTGCTCCTTAAACAAATGACGTTTTCTGAAAATTATTAGGACCATTTAGTATGTGGGATGGAAAATTATTATATTTTCCCTACATTTTATTTTTAATTTTTTATTCAATTTACTTAAAATCATAATAAAAATAATAAAAATTACTGAATAAAAAATTAAACTCTTTAATATATTTTCAATTAACATTTCAACAGTATAACTGTATAATTTGGCAGAAATGAACATTTTGTGTACTACATTTTAAATCAGAATATTACTTTTTTATAATACTTTTATCGTTTTCAATCGTTCTTTATTTAAGGATACATATAATTAATTTATTGGAGAAATATATCCATTTATTAGTAAAATAAAACATTGCAAATTATAACTATTATGTAGTAAACCATTAAAATAAATAAATTTGATGGGGATAATACTGTAAAATATAATTTTTAAATATTTACATTCAATCAATAATAAATTTTTATATTTAGTTAAATGAATTAAATATAATAAAAAAATGTGTTTAATAATATATTAAATAATTTTATTATTAAAAATAACATTACATTCAATGAATGAAATGTGACTCAATTCTTACTTAAATGTGTGTATTTATTAAGATCGCGACTCTCAAATCCCTTTGGCTGGATCTATGCTTACTTATTTTTGGGTAAACAACAATCATGCTTATAAACTTTTAGGATGCTTTCATTGTTGTCACTACATTTTTATAATTTATATTACAACCATTAAATTCTTAATTTGTTTTTATTACGATCATTTCCGTTAATAAATACTGACATTACATTTTAAAGTATTCTTTCTCAAAAACAAACGCTCTAATTTTTTTAAATTGATTGCTGCCACAAAGGTAAATTTGTCTGAATGAACAAAAACGTAATCTGTCAATTCCAACGATGAGAAGATTTTGTTTGATATGAAGATTAACATGATTCTGCTTCAAGTTGATATGATGATTAGTAGTGATAAATCAATTCATTTTTAGTTTTTATCGAACCATTGCCTCCTTTATCCGTTAGTTTTTTGTCATTTGATGATTTCTCTAATTAAAGAAATTACCAAACTATTATTCTTTATCTCTTTGTTTCTTTTAATTCAAAATCTTCAGAAAAACCTTCTAATCTCTTTAAATATTATCGAAATTAAACAATAAAATTTTGACATATCACTAACAATCGTTGGACAACTTAAAATTAAACTATGTTAATCTTTTAGTCAAATAAAGCCTTTGGAATCGACACCGATTCACCAAAAAACCAACATTTGCATTGATTGTCAATTTTGAAAATTACAGTTGTTTTCCTAAAAGAAGACTTTAACTTGCAATATCTCTTGAAGGCACCTAATATCAACGATCATAATGAAAGCAAATAAAAAGTTTAATGACTACAATACAATTTTTAAAAGCTTAGTTACTAATGTGAAAGGACCACCAATGAAGTTTACTCTTCTTCTTTTCAACCACCATACCTTTATTTTACGAAAGGAAATCCTCAGAGTTTTGTGCCGACATTACTTTCGGCTCATTACTCTGTTTTTGACTCTCCCAATTCTCAAACCGGTGGGGCCATGTCCCTCGCCTATGTTTCAACAGCAATTCTGTCTCTTAAAAGTTAGCCCATTCAAGGAGATTGTTTTTCGATTAAAGGTGCAGAACAATCCAAATTATATTTTATTTTTCCAGAAATGTTTCCGTGTTTGAGGGATTGAAACGGTAAGAGATTCAGAAATATTTTTTAAATATATTAATTATTTAAATTTTTCGTATGAGATAGACATAAGTCAAATTTCGGGATAGACACTCATAATAAAATGAATATCTAATATAAAGAAATTTGATTCCGATGCTTTGCATCCTCCACTGGATTGAAACAAAACCGAAATCAAATCTACAAAACGTACGCAATAGTTAGTTCGATACTCAACCCTCTTGTTAAGGAAGATATAGATTAGGGTAGAAACTTTTATAGGAAGGAAAATGACAATGGCAGAGAAGTATTTAAGTAGTTTACAGGACAATAACAGTTAAGCATTGTCATGTTCTTGAGAAGGAGAAGCTATTCACTGGCACACCTCCATCAACACAAATGATCTGTCCTGTTATGAACGAGGCTGCCGGTAGACATAGGTATGCCACCAAGGACGCCACCTCTTTGGGTTCTCCCGTCCGCCCTAATTAAAGGTGTTCGTGACACCATAGCTTTCGCTAAATCTTCTTCTTTGAATGCCTGTAAGGTCTGGTTATTAGTGATGTCGGCCACGAATAATGTTAGAAATAATACTAATGCAAACTGAAATGTTAGTACTGATTAGAAAATAAATAAATAGAAGTAATAAGGTTGAACGTATCGTGAAAAATTCACTGCCTTCAAAATAAAATCGTCTTAATAGATGTAGTCATACCAATAACGATGAACAAGATTTTATACGATATAATTTAAAAATACCGTGTAATTTCGGAGATTGATTATAGTCCAACGACAAAAGAAATGACCAATGGTTACTGATTCAATGCCCGATGTATAGGGTTTAGAGTTAAATTTGTTTAGAACTTTGGATAATTTAGGGATTTTAAGATTTTTTTAGAAAATTAATAATTTTATTTTTTTCATGTTACTTTTTTTTAGAAAATAAAATTAAAAAATACGCTATATGCAAAAATTGATTGGATACCATATTTTTTTAATGGTTGTTAATGACCAGACACTTTAAGTGATAATTTTGAAAACGTTGGACACATAATTTGATAAAAAAAATTAAATACCTAATACGGATATAATTTATCCACAGATTTTTTTAATTAAACTTAAAAAAAAATTAAACTTGAAAGGTACTTGTATAGTTGTATTTGTTACGATGATTAAGTTGGTACGAGAAATTATAATGAAAAATTATAGAAAACAGGGTAAAATTAGAACTGAAGAGAAGTTAAGGGAGAAGACGCCATATATCCTTTAGATCTAAGGCTTTCCGTTAGATATTATTAACTGCATAGCTAATTTGTATTAAGATATCATTATTCTTATTATTTTTTTGCACGAAGGTTTTTTTTAAAGAAAAAATCTTCATCATTTATGCATTTTATTGTCTACTCTGAGTTTAAAGGCAATTTTAGCCCAATAATTTAGGTGGGCTAATTATCTAGCCCAATAAGACACAAAGTAATTTATTTAGGAATCTACGAGATTTGCTACAATTACTTGAAACTCATCAAGTCGAAATGATAAGTTCTAATAAAAATTATTTTTTATTCAAGCTTTTTATCCCGATGTGATAAAATTTAATAAAAAATGGTATGTTTTATTAGAATTCGTTACCTCGACGTGATGAGTTTAGATAAAAAAATATTATTTAGATAAACTCGTCACCTCGACTTGACGAGTTCCTTGAATATTGTAACAAATGTCGTAGATCTCAAAATAAACTTTTATATGCCTTATTGGACTAATTAATAAAATTGTTTGCCTTATTGGTCCAAAAAACCGAGTTTAAACGGGATATGCCCATTAAAGTTTGGAGCAGGGCCACACTTGTGACGCTGAGTCCAAACTCGTTTCACAGCACAATCCATTTTTGCTCCCTCACCAAACGATATTGTTTTATTAGAATCATGTGATAAAAAATTATTTTTTATGGAATTTGAACTTATAACCTTCAAGAATAAATATTAAACACCCAACCACCAAGTTAACTTATTAATTTAATATATATCTTAAATTACAGTTATATACTTCTTCTCCACTCTCTTCTTCTCCAACGTCCGTCGATCTTCTTTGCCGCTGATGAATTGTTGTGGGTGGAAGAGCTGACGATAAGAACCAGTCCTCACTTCATCAATAACGGTGGGTTCAAGATCTACAAAAACAGCAAGAGATACGAGCTTCCCAGCTCCGGTTTCACTGAAAAATGTGTTGAAAGCATCATCACCTCCACCGACAGTCTTGTCGATAGGCATCTGGCCATCAGGCTGTTCAAAACAGAAATGCAACCGCTCATTATTCAATGACCAAAACTTATACCACAAAGGTAAATGTACGTAAAACTATGATATATTTCATTCGTTTTTTGCTTCCGACTCACCTTTCCTACTGCTACTAAACTGCTTACTTTGGTTTCACTTCTAATTACTTAAATAATATTTTTTTCCAAAAAAAATAATATTCTGATAGTAGGAAAAGGTCTGATTCTATCGCATCAATAAAATTCCTCTTACAACAAGGGATTCCTTTTCATTGTTGGATTAGAATAAAATTTTGGTATATATATGTATATGGGTACTGTATATTCACGACTGAAAATAAAAAGAAAATTCAACGGTATGGCATGTTTGAAGACAATCCTGGCGTTAGTTGTTTTGATTCAATGCACTACCTTGAGTGAATCTTCTCGTATTTTGGAGAAGAATGGATGACAATATATTCAATGTCATTAGCGGCAAAGAAGATCGACGGACGTTGAAGAAGAAGAGCGTGAAGAAGTATACAACTGCAATTTAAGATATATATTATTTTTGTTAAGAACATATGAAATTATTAAATTAGCTTGTTGGTCGGGTATTTACTATATATTTCTGAAAGTTAAGGTTTGAATCCCATATAAAGCAAAAGTTTTATCAAATGATTCTAACAAAACGATGTCGTTTTGGGTTTTTTTAATATTAAAACAGTTGCGTCAAAACGACGTCGTTTTGGTGAAGGGCCACGTTAACAACGTTACGGCGCGGAGATATCATATCATCGTGCCGTTAAACTATTAATGGTGGGATGACAATTACAATGAAACATAAACGTCAATGATAAAATTGACAAAATTTAAACTTAAGTAGTATTTTTGAACCTGAATTTAAACACGAGTGGTATTTAAAATAATTATAGAATATTTAATACTACTAATTAATAAAGAAAAGGGAAAAGGAATAAATAAAGTGAGTGATGTGTTGTCCACTTTACTTTAATTCCCGTTTTAAATGCACAAAAGGTAACAAAATGTTTGTGTAATTTAATTATTATTCCTCCGTAGAATATCAAAATTCTCTCGCATAACATTTCTCTACTCCTTAGCTCAGCTGCAGAACGAGCAATCCCTCTTCTACTGTAAGTCTCTATTATCTCCCAGCTACACTACTGTTCCCATTAATCCCTTTGTTTCCATTCAAGAAGAACAAAGGGTTCTAGGTTTTTATTCTGCTGCTCTTTGCTCTCTGAGTTTTAGGTTCATGGCTTCAAGCTTTTAGCCTTTTCAGAGCACTTGGAAAAGTGGGTTTAGTGTTTTAGCTTTCTGTAAATAGTTCTTACTTTAGTTTCGGTTCGTTCCTCTTATGGAATTGAAATGGAGTGTTCCTGTTTTTCACCCATGGAAACCCTCGAAATTTCCCACGCTGCTCTTTCTATTGTTATCTCTGTGGTTTCTAGGCCCATCTCGGTGTTTTGATCTTGACCCACAAGACAAAGACTCGCTGATACGGTTCAGGTCATCGGTTGATGACCCTGGCCTGAGATTATCAAGCTGGTCAGGGTCTAACTGCACCAACTGGACCGGTATTTCTTGTGAAAACCGAACCGGTCGGGTTGTTTCTCTGAACCTGGCTAACATGAATTTGTCTGGTGAAGTGCACCCCGCTTTATGTAAAGTTTCACTTCTTGGATACTTGAATTTCTCTGGGAATAATTTCAATGGAACAATTCCAACATGTTTTGGCTCATTGGGTAGCCTTAAAAGTCTGGATCTTAGTCATAATAGCATTGTTAGGGTTATACCTGATGATATCATGAAGCTGAGGCAATTAAAGGAACTTGTGCTGAATGGAAATCGTGAACTCGGTGGCGTTTTGCCGTCGTGGATCGGTAACTTTTCCAGTAATCTCGAAAAACTCAATCTCGGCTCCAATTCCTTTCATGGGGAGATGCCTGACAGCTTGTTTCAGTTGAAGTCCTTGAAGCACTTGGATCTCGGAGACAATTGTTTATCAGGCAATATTCACGAGTTTCATCAGTCATTGGAGTTCCTCGATCTTTCTTCGAATCGATTATTCGGTACTTTGCCGTGTTTTGCGGCTTCGGCACAGAGTCTAACTGTTCTGACATTGGCTAACAATTCACTTGTAGGAGGAATACCTACATGTATTGCCTCACTGCAAGTGTTGGCACATCTTAACCTATCATTCAATAGTCTGAGTTATGGTATCTCTCCCAGGCTTGTATTTACAGAAAAATTGCTTGTGTTGGACTTGAGTTTCAACGATTTATCAGGTCCTCTCCCTGGAAAAGTTGCGGAGGCGACTGAAAAATCAGGCCTTGTTCTTCTGGACCTCTCTCACAACCGTTTTTCTGGTAAAATTCCCTTGAAGAACACCGAGTTGAAAAGCTTGCAAGCATTTTTTCTGTCTCATAATCTGCTTACAGGGTCTATTCCAGCAAGGATTGGTAATTTGACTTATCTCCAAGTAATCGATCTCTCGCACAACTTCTTGTCGGGTTCGATTCCTTTAGACATTGTTGGGTGTTTTCAGTTACTTGCATTGCTGCTCAATAACAACAATCTTTCTGGTGAAATTCAACCCGAACTCGATGCATTGGATAGCTTGAAGATATTGGATGTGAGCCATAATAAGATTTCTGGTGAAATTCCACTAACCTTGGCAGGGTTAAAGTCACTAGAGGTTGTGGATTTTAGCTTCAACAGCCTCTCGGGAACACTGAATGATGCGATAACGAAATGGTCGAACCTCAAGTATATCTCCTTAACTCACAACAAATTTAGTGGGGATTTACCGAGCTGGCTATTTACTTTCAGAGCAATCCAGATGATTGACTTGTCTGGGAACAAATTCTCAGGCTTCATACCAGATGGTAATTTCAACATTAGCTTCCACAACAACAGAGGAAATAGTGATAGAACAGCAGCTAAAGAGCCAATGTGGAATGCTGAGATTAAAATTTCTGCCGTGGTCATTGATAGCACTGAACTAAGCTTCAGCTACATGGTGTCTTCGGCAGTTGCCATCGACTTATCGGATAATTTGTTGCGCGGTGAGATCCCAGACATTCTCTTCCAAGTAAAAGGATTGGAGTATCTGAATCTATCTTACAACTCCCTCAACGGTACGGTTCCTAGGATGGAGAAAATGTGGAACTTGAAGGCATTGGATTTGTCACACAATTTGTTATCCGGCCGGCTCCCTGGAAACATATCCACCCTTAAAAGTCTAATACTCTTGAATCTATCGTACAACAGTTTTTCCGGATCAGTTCCTGCTAACCAGGGATATCAGAGATTCCCGGGAGCATTGGCCGGTAATCCGGGTTTGTGCACCGGAGAGGGATGTAACGGTGCAGGCCTACCTGGGAAGACATTTGAAGTAGAGGGACCGATAGTGGTGTGGGTGTTTTGTGTAAGTGCTTTTGTCAGTTTCTATTTTGGTGTCGTGGGTCTCTCTTTTGTTCGGCAGGAGCAAGGAGATACATCCTCCACACTAAACTTTAACGCATGCTTTCTTCTATATATTTTATGCATGTATGAATGTATGTATATCTCTGCTTCTTACTGATATTAAACTAATGGTCAACGCACTAGAAGGTGTGGATTATCTTCATTCACATATGTTTAATCCAACTCTTCTTTTGATATCTGAAGATTTATCAACACATGATAATATGATAGTTTTAGTGATAATAAATTTGATATCTTTAAATCATGAACTTGTGAGGAAAATAAAGTTCAATAAGGTTTGACAATAATTATATCCTAATATAAATCATGAATTGTGAGGAAAATGCAAATCATTTGCTTTTGATCGTCATACGAGTCAAATGGCTTATGACATTCATACGTGCATTGTCACATTAGCCCGTAAAAAAAAGTTACTAACCAAATCATCATTTCATTAAAAGTTAAAAGGTTGGATTTGGTTGTTGATTGTATCAATCCGAAGCTACAATCATGTTCGTGAAAACTAGACGCCGGCCAGAGCCGCCGTAGTAGTGGTGGTGGTTATTGGGGAAGAACAGAGTTTGGCTTCCATTTATATAGATGCTTAGTCAAAAAGGAGGGTGTGAATCACAGGAAAATGTGGAAAATTAAGAAATGGCGCGGTCCACCCAATTCTTCCCAAAATTTCGCCGAGAAGTGCAAGGAAAAAACTTACAATAATTTTGTTTTGATTTGCTGGTTTCCAAACATGGGTCGTCATGGTCTCTCCTTGTTTTCTTTGGGGTTCCAAAACGGCTTCTCCTTCAATGAAGGGGTTGAAGACTGTGCGCCAAAATTATCATTCTGAGATTTCTTCAACCCCCACCACCGAGGCCCACATCCATAGTTACTCGAAATTAGTTTAGGGGAAATTCTGGGGATTCGGCACTCCTGGCGGCGATTACCATGAATTGCTTCCCTTGTTTCTCATCGCACAAAAGCAAGAAAGAAAACGGCAAAAGGGAACATGACTCTTCCGCTGAAGACTTTATTCGATCACGAATGTTAGGTTTGCGCTTCCCTTTCTCTTGTTTTTTCCCGCTTCGAATCTCATTTCGTCTGAAAATCACTTGTTTCCTCGTTGCATGAAAAGCATAGTTTAGGTAGGAATCGGAGACCGCTTTGCATAGATGATTAGAATTCGAATTTAAAAACCTCTTTTACATTTGATAAATAATGAGGCCAATCATGCAATACACTTAAAAAGCTTGAAATTATGAGTCTATGATGAATTTAAATAAAAACAACGACGTAAATTTAACATGAGAAAATAATTAAGATATTAATATTTTAAATTGAATTAAAATTAGAATATGAATTTTATTAGATATTTTAAATTGAATTAAGATATAATTAAGAACATCAGATATGCTAAAATTAGAATCGGAATTGTATTAGATGTGATGTCATAACTACAAGAATTAGTTGGATTAAATCCAAATTTCGCGTTCAGCAGTTTATAGATGGATTAAATGATCTGAAAGTAAAACAAGTTGTTTAATTTGTTGATTTGTTGGATTAAGAAGATAACGGGAAATTAAAAAAAAGCTGATCGGAAGCGCAGGAATGGAGGCGAATCAGGAAGAGCATGCGAAAATCGAGGCTCAAAAGTTCAGTTTCAGAGAGCTAGCCGCGGCAACCAAGAATTTCCGGCAAGAATGTTTGTTGGGTGAAGGTGGTTTCGGAAGAGTCTACAAGGGAACTCTTCAGTCCAGTGGCCAGGTGCATGCTCTTTCTTTCTTTCTTTTTTAAATCATGTAATTTTCACAATCATTAAAATGGTTAGATTTGAATATTAGATTCATTAGATGAGACTAATAGTGGATTAAAAGCTGTATTGAGAATTTTTTTTTTCTGTTTGGAATTTGGATCCAAATCTGAAGATCAAAACTGCATGTAAACAAAAAACATATTAATATTTGATCATTCTTTATATCAAACAAGTTCTTAATGTCTAAATATCGAAGGACATGGGGGCTGACGGAGGCGGTTCACCCTCCTTAAAAATTTCAAATTCACATGTAATTTAGATATTTTTTTTATTGATAATATGTTTTCAGTCTCCTAAAATTTTATAAAGTTCTTTGTCTAATTTAAAATCCCGTGTCGACCCTGGATGTGGATGCATGGTGAACTTGCAGTTTGAACTCAAATATTGAGAATCTTGGGGTAACCGTGGTATCCCCTGGACTTGGCATCCTTAGGCTCTTTCTAGAATCAAGACAATATTTATTGTATCATCAACATGATGATCTAACAAGAAGGAAAGATAAAAAGAAAATTACAATTTGATAAAGAACAAATAAATGGATTGATATGTTGACTGATTGGTTTTTGGTATTGGAATATTGGAGATATGTATAGGTGGTTGCTGTAAAACAACTAGACAGGAATCATATGAAAGGTTGCAAGGAATTTCTCGTAGAGGTAGCACGATTGAGTCTCTTACGGCATGCAAATCTAGTTAGTCTCGTTGGATACTGCGCTGATGGAGATCAGAGGCTTTTGGTTTATGAATTCCTGCCTGGAGGTTCCCTTGAAGATAATCTACTTAGTACTTCCATTTTTCTTCTTCTTTTCTTAGTTTGATTCTCCAGTGAAATTTTAAGTGAACAACGATATTAATGCATTTGTTGCGGTAATTGCAGAATCCAAGGACGATAAGCCAGAAATAGATTGGTTAACCCGAATGAAAATAGCCTATGGAGTAGCACAAGCTCTGGAGTATTTGCATGAAAAGGTTGATCCTCCTGTTATATACTGTGATCTGAAGTCCTCAAATGTGTTGTTGGATGAAAAATTCAACCCCAAACTGTCTGATATTGGACTGGACAAAGTTGGACAATCGGCAGAAAGTACTTCGAAGCAGCCGAGGGTGATGGGAATGTATGGGTACAGTGCTCCGGAGTATGCAAGATCAAGTATACTCACAGCTGTTGCCGATGTATACAGTTTCGGTGTTGTTTTATTGGAACTTGTCACCGGAAGAAGAGCCGTCGACACTACCAAACCCGCGAACCAGCAGAACTTAGTCGCTTGGGTAAGCATATGTGTTTATATCAATAGTCGTTAGAGTATTGTGCAAGTAATGTTTAGGTATTGTGTTCTTTGGGTGTCGATATAAATTCCTGTCACAGACACGTTATGTCCGTAACACGTTATCATGTCTCTTGACAATACTTAACTGTACGAGGAACTGGAACAGGCTCAACCCTTATTCAAGGAACCGAAAAAGTTCCCAGAAATGGCAGATCCCGTGCTAAAGAAGCAATTCCCCGAAAGGGGCTTGAACCAAGCAGTTGCAATAGCAGCCATGTGCCTACAAGATGAAGCCACTGCCCGTCCTTTGATGGGCGATGTAGTGGCAGCATTGAGCTTTCTTTCGACTGCCTCCGAAGAGAATAACATCCCTTCCGCTCTCCCTCCGTCCATCTCATCTAAATTGCACTGTATCTCAGACAAGCTGAGGCTCGAGTGCGGTGGCGATGCAACAGAGGACAAGCAAATGTGATTGCATGTTCATTGGTTATGCCGAACATAGTGGTGCTGTGAATAGGTTTCTTGTTTTGGAAAGCTATATACTTGGTCGGAATACGATTATTGGAATGAAGAATGCTGAGTTTTTTGAACACGTATTTCCATTTAAAAAACTGATTATGTTTCTCATGCACTTGATATTTAAATCGATTGTGAATATGATGATGTGAAAAGATCAGAATGATCAGGAACTGGAAAATTTCTTTGGAAGTTATTGTTATACATATTTAGTTAAAAATGATTCTTTAATATATTTTTCTGAAACGATTTCTTCTTCTGATGCTCTTTATATATATATATATATATAGAAGTTATTAAAATTGAATTTGTTTTGATTGTTCAAAAGGCTTAATGCAAAAGTATCCGATATATAACTTAAGTACTTGAAGAAATTTTTGTTAAAAATGTGTTTTTTCTGTCATACTTTTACATGTCTATGTTGTAACATTCGTTAAATTCAATTGTTATATGACATGTGTCATACATATAAAATTTTAATTATTTTAATTTTTAAAAAATACTTTAATTTATTTTTTTAAACCCCAAACTTCTTTAAAATAAAAAAAAAACCTAAAATCCCAAAAAAACACCTAATTTTAATCATATTTTCTTCGTTTACCACCACCAACGCCGCCAAACGGCAAAATCCCAGTTATGCGCGACTGTCCGAACACTCTATGCTCGAACATCCATGCTTCAAGCGATAATTACAGTGAAAATGGGTGACTGTATCGACCAAATGATTTCAAGTAAGGGCAATGATTCTAACGATTCAAGCGACCGTTCCAATGATTCAAGTGATGATTCCTTCCACTGTGCGTTTGAATTTGGTTAGATGAAGTGGCTGACGAAAAATGGTGACAACCAAGACAACATCTACGATGGGCGGCATGGATAAAGAGGTTTGAAATTAGAGTTTTTAGACTTTTGAATTTTTTTAGATTTAAGTAAAATTTGAGTTTTTTTATAAATAAATTATATTTTTTATTTTAAAGTTAATTTTTAAATTTTTTATAAGTCTAACGCGGTTCCAATTTCTTAAAAGTATAACGTCGAAAAATTTAAACACTTATTTTTGACAAAAAAATTCTTTTAACATTTAAAATTAATTTAAAGTATATCTTGAAAACTTATTTTACATTAGTCCTGTTCAAAGTAACACTTGAACATTAGTTGAAAATAGATTTGGAGCAACGTATATATGGGTAGGTCATAACTAAGATATATTCAGGTAATTGGAAATTTAAATTATACTTTTTTTTGCATTAGGAAAATGCAAATTCTTGAATTATTTTAGTTTATATATATTAAGAATATTCTAGAATCATATAGAAATTATAGTTGTGTAGAAGTATTTATATAAAAATCTAGTTATTCGTAATATTTAATATTATATCTAAAATTATCTATTAGAAGAATTTAAATATTTGTAATATTAAATAGCTAAGATGTTGACACGTGTCAACAATCTAATAGTCGCTATAATCTATAAATAGAGGTGAGTTTTACCCTTGTGGTAAGTGTGAGAAAGTGAGAAAATGGTACAAAAAGTGTGAGCTTGATAAAGAAAGCTTTAGAGGTAGAGAAGAGTAGAGTAGTGGGGTAAGTGAGTAATATTGTAATTACATTTTGTATCAATAAAAGTTTATCTTCTCTTAAGTTTTTCAGTTAAACCTTAGTTGTTTCTTGATTTAACACAGAGCTCTATGTAAAGTTAAATGGTGATAATCAAAGCTGATACATAATTTAGACTCAAAGACCAGGGATATCTTCCCATTTCACACTCAAATAATTAAGGCCTCAAAGAATGGGTAAATTGCAGTCAAAACAAAGAAATTAGCATATTCAACTACAAATTGAGATACTTTACAGAGAAATTAGCATATTCAACTGCAAATTGAGATATTTTACAGATATATATATATATTATCCCCATCATATAATCAGACATATGATATCCCTCCCCCAGTTAAGCTACCTATTACATGAGCTGAACAACTAAGTATTAGAAAGAGAGAAAAATAACATTTTGAAACAAAATAATTACCCCTGAGCATCAGAAGTAGAACTACAATATGCCACTTTTCGTTGAAACATGTTTCATATGAGAGGGATCAGAAACTTGATTTCATGAGCTTTGCTCGAGGCTTTATACAGATGTTGTCAAATGGTTTCCCCTGTTCTACATGGATGTAATCTCTTGTCTTAAGAACCTGCAGATTGGTGAAATGAACAGATAACAATGAGGATAAGTTTTACATCCTTCCACGTAGGAGCAACAAACAAACTAGGACAATATCAAAGATCACATGACCAGATCATGGAAACATTCTTGCTTCTTAATTTCAACAGTTTTTAAGATTCAATTTTATTATTTGATTCTTAATATTTAACTATTGATCGGTTCTAATACACAATAATGTCATAATATACTTAAGTTGCATTTGTCAAAAGGTATCCACAAATTGGGTTTTGTACAGGTGCATTTTAGTGTATTACTACTTGTGCAAAAGTTGCATACTTCTATACAATACAGGCTTACAATGGTGGAACAAGCCCATATCTTCTCATTTACCGAAAACATAATGCCTTGTTATATAAGAAACAGAGATAAGATGCAGTTTTTTAACTTTCAATGCAAAGTTTTTGTATGCTTAAAGTTACAAATATTACATTCTTCATTAGTGAGTAGATAATAGTGTTACGCACTTTAAAAGTTACTTAAGAGTAAAGTTTCAGTGAACATACCAAAGTTTCAAAAAACATCCTTGATGCTTCTTTTCGTGTCTTATGAGTCAATAGACTGTCCATAGAAAGTACCTTATGTCCAGGTACAACTTCATCCTCGAATAAATTCTGGAGATACTTGGCAACAGCCCTGAAAGAAAAGGTATGACCAAATATCAAGATGTGAGCTAGCTTCATTCCAGTTATTCAGCTACGAGAAATAATTTGATAAATAATGCTAATTTAATGTCAAAATTATAGGGAAAGTAAACAAAGGTAAAATAACTACATGGAGCGTACAAACCTGGTACGAGAAGACCATCCACTGTTTTCAAGAAGACTTTCATCACCACATGGCATGTCATCATCATCACCACCACCTAGCTCATTATCATCTACATTCAGAAATTCTGGAAGGAAAGAAAAATAAATATTTAGCAAGCCGGTAATAGTATCAAGATTGGTTAACTCAAACTGAAGTAAATAAAAAACAGATTTTTTATAAATGTTGACATTTTCCATTTAGGGGAAACTTTTGGGTGGCCATAGCTCCCTTTGGACCTAAATATGGTCCACCCTACTACTGAGTTCACAGATTAAATGTAAATTTTACATCTAAAGTAAAACCCATTCAGTCAAAAAGCTCTTTAAGTTCAGTCAAAAAGCTCTTTAAGTCATGTCCAAATAATTAAATAAATATGATTTCCAAAATACCCATCATTGGTCAAAACTCAAAAGTAGAAGCTAAACAGAAAGAAATGTTATCAAACCTGTATCATTTGCAATTGCAACATCCTCACATTCCTGCAACGCATAAGATCAAGTCATTTACAGGATTCCTAATCCCTAAAATAAAATATGACGGGCCAAAGCAAAAACAATTTTCATTGGAAAATAATAAATTCAAGTAAAGAAAGCACATCGGCAGGACAAGAATATAAAGTTGAGAAATGAAATAGTTACGATAACTCTCAAATGCCCACTACCATGCTAGCTAGAATAGAACAAAGTAATATATAACAGTTACTGAAATATATTTAAAAAAAAAGGTTTTTGCTTGGGGAAAGAAAAACCCATATTAATGCACCATGCATGTATATACACTAACCTTTTCTGAATATGTGGAATCCAGTTTACATTCTTCACGATCCTTACAGATGATGTCTTTGTCATCATTATCCAAGAGTGCGCCCTCAACTTGAGCCTCATCTGCTACACCAGCCTTACCATATCCAGTTTCATATGCAATTTGAGATTCATTCATAGGCTCACCAGTTCGTATAGTTGCAAGAGGATCGGTTCCATTTTCTATAGGTGCAGGGTAGTCTGCCAACGCCATACCAACCTCAACTGAAGTATTGGCTTTACTTTCTTCTAACAACAACTCATCAGTTGCTTTTGATTCAGTTTCAGCTACGACAAAGCTTTCACCATGTTCCAAAACTTCAGCAGGATGAAATACTTTGTCATTTCTCATATCCAATTCAGAAGTATCCTCTCCAGGTTGAATACTTGTCTTTTGATCAGGTGGAAGGCATGCTGCATTGTTTAACATGGAGCCATCCATGCTGTTGGTTACCTCTGCAGCTGTCATGTTACCAGCATCTCCAGTAACAACACCGGTAGGGAATGATACCCTGAACTCATTCAGAACAGAATGATTTGCTGCATTAGCAACTTCAATATTAACTCCGTCAATTTCCATTTCAGTAATCCTATCTAAAGGTTCATATTGCAGAAGTTGAGGTACGTCATCAACAGCATAGCTATCCTGCTGAACATTAAGATCATTGTGTTCACCCAGATGAGTATCAATCTGGTTAGGAATGGCAGAAGCTTGTGCTTGCTTGTCATTTCCAAGAATTACAGGCACAGAGCTTCCTCCAATTCCACCCTCAGCAATAATAGGTTTGACAGAGGACTCTGAATTCTTAGCTAGTTCAGATGATGCATGGTTTTCCTCAACTTCAGAAATCCTGATTCTGGTTAGATCATATGGTTCACTGTACAAACATGTCAATTCACCAGAGATACCTATAAGCACACCATCAATTAGCAAACTTATAACATGCTAAAGGTACAAGCAATGTGTTAAAAAGTCATCCAATAGCAGAGGTATAATTGTTTCAAGAATCAAGACAGATGCACAAATATTAGGATAGACCACAAATAATCTTTATCATCCATACAATTCTAGAACTTGAGTAATCTTTCATACATATGACATCTGCACCAAAAAACAGAACACATATAAAAGGTAGTTGTTATGTCCACAGAAACGAGGCAATGCAGTACAAGCTAATAGGTAAAACAGATGTAGAAGTAGTAGGATCTTGTCTTCACTAAAGCCAGAGGATGCCCTAGATTAGACAAACATCTAGAATAACTAAAACTTTGCTCAATGAAAGCAAATCCAATTTCAACAGGGCCTTAAGGATATATATTTACGGTTGTATCTGTAACTGTTTCTCTTCTTGGGGCAGTAGCACATTAGATGCGTTTAAAATGCCACAACTCAACATCCCCACTCTCTTCCCACTTGTATTTTACAACACCCAAAGCATATCATGAATTTTCAAGACCATTATAATCAATTGACAAGTTGAAATTCTTCATCCCATTTGATGCAACAAAAGCATGCAGATACAAGGAAGTTTCAGCACTTTGATCTCACCAGTACATATTGGTTCATTAAAGATTTCATCTTCCAAGAATTTTCTCTGAATCAATGAAATTTCAGGGCGAGTGCAAGGCGCTTTCTTGCGTATGCGACGTATGTCTTCAGTATAAACCAACTGTTGACGTATTGTACTTGATAAGGGGGAAAAAGAAGCTGAATCAGTACATTTGATTTAGAAAATAAAAAAAAATGCATGCCATATAGATTGTTATATTTACACCCAGCAAGTAATCAAGAGTTTAATACCATCAACAAAAGTCGCTATTACAAAAATTGTTGACTACAGAAGAAAAAAAAAGGTGCTTCAGAGAAGGATAACACAACAATGCAAGAATAAACATGTAAATACAAAAATTTCCAAGTGCATCAATCCCATAAACAAATTTTGATTTATAAACTCGGGCATTGGAGAGCTCAAAAAAGCAAACATGTTATATTGACAGTGCAATAAGAAAATTGGTGATAATTATCAAATTTAAATACATTCGAGAAAGATCAGCCAGCAATAACAATAAGTTACTAAGTTACTGAGGTATAAAAAAGAGTAAGGTGCAATAAGAACATATTGATAACATACTCGCCATGTAAGACCATAGTATCATCCACAAGCACTTTTCTCAATCTCTTGGTGGCACCAGATCTTGGTGCAGATCGTGCCCGTTTCATTGGAGGAGGTGTTGGTTTCATTTTGAAAAGGGAAGATCTTCCAACTGAAGCAATGAAAAATTGCATCATTCATAGAAGTACTTGATTAAGAGCAATAATCCATTCTTTTCTAGTAAATTCTTAGAAGGCAAATACTAGTTCCTTTTAGAGTTAAAAGTGTGGCTACCTAAAATAGAAGACAACAAGTCATCATCATCAGGAACTGAATCTGTAGTTATCCTCGATCGTGATCTTCCGAATGATTCAAATGAGTTTATACTCTCTATAGTTAATGTACCAGTTATACTTCGTTTTTCCCCTGAATTGAGTTTCGTTCCAGCATCAATTTCATCATTCTCAGTTAGGACTTCTTTGTCTGGGGTAGACACGCCCAGCAAATCACTTGGTTCATCATGAGGTCCTTCTGGTGCAGAGAGGAACTTTTCTGGTGCAGGCAAATCGGACGTAGCAAAATTATTCGAATTTTCCAACTGATCATCACATAAAGCAGGCTCTGACATCTGAGTTTGGCAGGCTTCAACTGCGAAGATGGTGGTTAATTAGGAACAATATAACATGAAAGCATCATAAAAATGATGGTGCCATATATAAAATTGAGGGAATAAGCTATATAAGACTGCATTCGTAAAACTTGTAAAACAAACCTTGCATCTCAATGGAAGCTCCAGGAGCATGAACTTCCTCCTCCCTTATGGACAAATCCACCAAGTTTTGCTCTGCAGCAACCAAACTATCACTTCCAAGAACTTGAAGATACGAGAGATCTTTGTGGACAATAGGTTTTTCTAAATTTTCAGAGCCATTTGGTTCCTGAAAACCTTGAGCTTCACCATCAATAACTGTTGTTTTGGAAGGTGAGCATGTCTCTTCCAAATTATCAGTGGTTTGAGCATCATTGCCAATTTCAGATTTATGTGATGCTTGACCATTCTCCAAACAGCCATCTGATGTGGGCACATAGATGCTACTTGAACATGATCTTCGAGAAGGGTCCTCCAAATCAAAGGTGACGTTGGAGCAGCTAGGAGATTCAAGACATTCTCCATCAGTTCTATCCATAGAGTGCATGACACCATTAGGCGTATCTTCCACCCTATCCAAACCATCAGGTCCTCTGATAGGACCAACAGCAGATGTGTAATCCACAGACAAGGCATCATAGACAGAATTTCCTTGTGGTTTAGTTTGTTCCTTCTCCATGTCACTAATGTGGCAGCCATTTTCAGGAGGCACGCCAACAATAGGATTATGAACTATATCATTATGCAATGACTGATCCACTGGACCATTATCCCCATTGAGAAAATTTGATTTAGTAGAAGCAATTTCTACACAATCATTCTTCAATTCTGTAAAAATGTAATTTTCTGATTCAACATGATCAACCAAAGCCTTCTGAACACCAGACAAGCTAGGCACTTCCACTAATCCAGGGGCATTTGCATCCTCGTCGTTCTCAACAAACTTGGAATTTGCAGTCATACCTTCAACCTAACAGCAAGCAGAGCATATTACTCAAAGGCTGGATGTAACAAAATCACCAGAATATATAATTTTCTATGTCATAAAATCAAATTAAAAGGAAATTGAGATGTATGTTGAGTTGAACAAAAAAAAAAAAACCTGATCCCCACTGCAATCCATTGGCACAGCTTCTAAATTACTTCGGTCTTGTTTTGGTGGTACATCAGACCCTTGATCATACCTGAAATGACATAAACAAGTCAGGTGAGCCAAAATATTCATAATGGTTTCATAAATTAATCAGTGAAATTAACAATGACTTAACAAACGACCACACTATCCAAAAAAGATAATAAGGAGAAATACGGTAGGAGTATGACCATTTCATAAATGACATTATTGTGTATATATATATCAGGCTTACTCTGAAACTTCAACAGATCGTGGCGCTGCAACCTGATCTAGGACTAGCTCCTGCTCAAGATTAATCCAAGACAAGGATTTTCAGAAGATGATTAACATAATAGGAAAGAGCACAAGTAAAAAGTAAAAGACAGTCAATTCATAAAGAATAAAGTTTAACACCACAACCCCAAAGACATCAAACTTTGAAGAACCAATGGAACCATCCATTCAACAAATCAAAGGTTCTGCAGACCAGAAAATCCCATGAAGAATATTTTCAATGCCAAGAACCAATTGATCAGGGTTTTAATGTTCAAACCACCTATGAAATAGCTCAGTAAATAATCCACTTCATGCACCTTAGTCCATCCCTAAAAGGCTAGATGCAGTTCTACTTGGAGTAAGGATATACATGAATGACAAAAAGGCTGGATGCAGTTCTACTTGGAGTAAGGATATACATGAATGACATGCTCTGACATATTATTGCATCAGCTGTAGACTCTGGGTCTGATCTTAGTTTTAAGTTTTAGGATCATGTTATCATATTAGATTACTATACTTTGTAAAGCAGTTTTTGATCGTTCCCATCTTGAATCCCAACTACTTTCTAAGAACAAAAGGAATGCAGAAATGTGAATATGATTTCTTCTATTTAATGGACGGGAGTTTATGGCAATTTCAATAGCTATTATTAGTCTGTTAGGTAAGGAAATGGGCAAACGGTGCATAAGTATAGGAAATATTGCTGCAAAGCCTAGATCTCCATCATTGTCTTATCCCTAAATCATAAATCAAATCCTAACTAACATCATATTTCAACTCTAGACCCGAAATACTATTCATTGGCACAATTCACAGATGCAAAACACATCCAAATCAATTTGGCCTTTTTTGTCGAACTTTAAGCTTAAGTCCTAGCCTATATCAACCATCAAAAGATTCAAAACAAATCATATTTTCAAATCCATGTAAACCCCAAAATCAGAAACTCTTGCTTGATAACCACCCTTTCTTAAATTTCCAGATCCTACATTAGTAAGCCTCCTGCTGATTAGAAACCACTTTCAAAGCAATCATGAATCACCAAATATCAAGGACACAAGAATAACAACACTACCTCATCAAGCAGACCAATCTGAGAAGTGTCACCATCACCAAAACGCTCTGAAAGTATTTAAAATGCAGAATTTTAGATTCACTAAATTTTGCCAAGTAAATGTAGCTAAAAATAGCATTGCCGCAGTCAAAACCATCCACTAACCATCCAATCCAAATTGTGATGTAGTATAAACCACGTCACCCATGGTATCTTGAAGTGTAATCTGCTCTCTTGAGCTAATGTGATGATCAACGTAGTTACTGCCAAGAAAATTATGTTTAGTTAACATACAGTACTCCCATAGATACTTTATGAAGATATTTGATGTGCATCTCATAGTGCCAAAGCAACGCATACAACAAGACAATCTAAAAGGTAAAAATATTAAGACTAACCCCTGAAATATCTCATTGTCAGGCAGCTCAAAGTCATCAAGATCAAAAGTCTCAGGCAAAGTGATCGAATGGTAGGGCGCAGTCGATTCTTCTGGTGGTAAATCAACAGCAGTGGAGCGAAATGCCTGTTTTATCTTGAGCAAGGCTTCGCTGCAATCATCAAAAAGGTAATTCACCTTTCGAGAATATATCCTCACTACTCCAAGAAGAAGATGACTGGACAGTCGTAGTGCAATGGGTACATCAGGAAACAGAATAGAGTCTGCTCAAAGGCCATATAAACAACAAAAGGCAATCCAAAAGTTAGCCAAGCCTAGTCAACTTCTTCTGTCACAAAATTTCTTATGAATATGAAGGAAATTAGATAACAGAACGTGAAAACATCAACCATAACCTTTCTCTAATTTTAATAGTGCAGAGATATGCATGAACAACAAAATCAAAAAAAGGGCTGAGCAAGCTCAAAGGAAAATTCCTCCACTGAGTAGTAACTAAGTAAACCGCATATTTAAGAATATGCTACAACAGCATGGATAGTAACCATGTTCCAGAGAAAATTACTCCTACATGACCATAGGTTTCCGAAGAAACCAATAGAATTTCCAGGAACCCCTCCAAATATGCCCAAAAGGGGAAGATAAACAAATAAATGTTTACTAATTACATCTTGCTACTTCCGTATAAGGTAGTCAAAAATTGGAAGGGTAATAACTAAAATCATAATTAACTAAAAAAGAAACAATGACTAAGATGCAATTCCAATTATGAAACAACCAAAATTATATCTAAATAAAAAATGATACAGCATAAAAGGGAAGAATAAAGTAAGGGATGCATATCTAAAAACATTCTAGAGTGGACTAAGCTTAAGAAGATTTGGTTATTGCATCACTAAAAGGATTTTTTTTATAAGAGTTGGAGGTCTCGTTAAAAAAAAACGTTCATGCTTTTCACTAAAAGGAAACTAAAAAATACTAACCAACAGAAACACCGATGTCAGTATCCGCCACCTGATTCTTCCGGAGCTTCCTCTCCAGATGTGCTGCTATCCATATTGTCCCCAAGGGACCTTTCTTAGCCAATATAAACTGTGAATAAAACATTTCTTTCCTACTAAAATCCTATTTTCTTCATACAACTTCCCGACTTCTAAATGTAACAAACCCAATTATTAAAGCCTGCAAATTCTTAACCTATTCAAAAAAAATACCCAAAACAAACAATTTTAAATTTTCACTACAAATTTCAACAATCTCACCGAGCTCAATATCATTCCCGCTTAATTCAAAGAGAGACCACTCAGTGGAACTTCTAAATACCGAACCTTCAGAATCTGAAAAAGAACTCCCAACTGAAATTTGTGATCTGAACCCTAGCGCTCCACGGAAGGACGGCGATTAGTGGGAAAACCTCAGCTGAATAATTGAGCTAGGGAAAAAGGAATTGGAGAGAGACCGAGTTAGACTAGCAAGTCAGATCGGACAGGCATTACATAAACTAAAAGAGTAAGTGTCTTGTGTAAGAGAGAGACTTGAATTTTGTAATAAAGAGAAGATTAGGCTTTCATTTTTGGCCCTGTTTTGACTTTCAAGTCGTGCTGTCTACACTTCGTAATTGGCTTACATACAGTTCTTCTAGTTGGTCAACAACTATTTATCGTGTCAGATTTTCTTTTTCCAAATTTAAAGGCAAATTAGGAGTGATTTTACTGTGTGGTACCTAAAAAATAGTGTGACCCGTTATTAACTAAATGAAAATTTAATAAAAAATAAAATTCTTTAAAAAAAGAAAATTTAATAAAATATAAATTTAAAATATTATTCACGCCAAAGTTATGTATAGTATTTCGATAATATTTTGGTTATATTATAAAAATAAATATCTAAATTATTATTTTTTAGGTACTTAAATTATTTTTTAGTCAAATCACATATTTTTTTTTTGATTTCTCTGTATTTCTTTATATGATTGAACTTCAAATTAAATAATCACATTAATTTTTTAATAAATTCTAAATGTAATCTTAATCTAGTGAGGGAGATAGGAATTCTAAAAAAAGAATAAGAGTGTTTCTAGTAAATATAGAATTTATGATTTTAAAAAATATAGGAGAATAAAGTTAAACAAATTAATCAAATAACTAAATATATTTACTTGATAATCACACTATTTTTTTAAACATACAGTTTTTTTTATGTAAAAAGATATCTAAGGTTCTCAAACTTTAAAAAATCAATATGATCCTTATTCTTTTTTTAATAAATATGACCTTCCAACTTTAAGAAAATCTCAATGTAACCCTTTGACTAATATTTTCTGTTATTAACCAACGAATTATTACTTTATGCTGATATGACACGTTAATTTATTCAGCTCACTCCGTTTAATGCTGATTATGTGCTGAAAAGGTTTATTATTGCTTTTATAAATAGGGAAAATTATAACATTCATCACCCAACTATTTTTTTCTTCTATTTTGGTCACTAAACACTAAAGGTTTTATATTCCCATTTTCTTCTTCAGATCTTCTCCAAATCGAAACACCCAAAGCATTATTCTTTTCAAATCTAACACTAGTATTCATTTCAGATCTTCATCGGTTTTATATTATCATTTCTTCTTCAGATCTTCTCCAAATCGAAACCCCCAAAGCATCACCGTTCCATTTTCAGCCATGGCGGCCGCCTCACCGACCAAGAAGCTTCTATATTATACAGATGAGTCGGGTGAGCGAGGCGAAAACGTCACTGTCGACCCTTCCAATCTCACCCGCGATTGGGTCGGATCCGATGTTTATAATTACACCGGAGTTTACGGTTGTGGTGTCGATGAAGGTGGTTTTGCCGTGGTGAGGGTAAGAGGAGATGAGCAGGGGTGGACCGGGGGTGGACCGGGGGTGGACCGGGGGTGGGGGCAGTCGCCCCCCAGATGAATGTGGTGGGTTTTGTGTTTAAAATAAAATGGGTTTTGGCAAATTGTTGGACCTGAGATGTCTAATTATGGTGTTGCAACTTGGATATACACCATTGATGTCAAGTGCGAAGCAGAGTAAACTACTGCAACATGTTGAGGTAAATATTTTATATGGATTGTTGAGCCATAGCAATGCTTGGATTTTTCTAACTAGTTAGATAGGAATAGTTGTTACAAGGATGTTTTTTTGTCGAAGTGTAGGCAGCTAGAAGTTAGGGTCAACTCATAAATGACCCCATAATTATAGGTCACCATTTTTAAAATTATGATAAATATACCATTGAATTATTTAAATAGTTCAAAATGGCCACACAAAATTAGTATTTAACGGATGTATTTAAGTGGCAGTAAAAAAATAGAATAATTAGGGGATAAATCCTTGTAAAGTTATGTATTCACGACTTTAGCACCCTATTTGTTTTATTCCCTTTTGGTCACTACTTGTATATGATTTGTTTCTTTAAATTTTCATTTAATTCAATTTGATACTGATTTTGTTTTTAATTTTTCTAATGCCTTAATTTGAGCATTAACTTTAAAATCTTTTATTCTAGTCATGTATTAAATTTGAAAAATTAAATCCCCAAGATTTTAGAATTAATCAATTTGATCACTAAGATTAACTTTAATTCTTAATTTTTAATTAGGTCCTAATTTCAATTTAATTTAATAAATTTATTTCTCCAATCAAATTGTGACACATATCACAATCTTATGATTATAATTTGAATATTAATTGTATATATAATAAATATTTTTATCACTAATTATAATATAATATATATTATAATTTGAATATTAAATTATTTTTAATGATTTCATATATATAATCATTAAAAAATAAATATGAAAATAATAATTTTAGTTTAAAAATATTAAAATCTTAAATCAATTATAAATAAACTATTAGATTTATTTTAATGATTTAAGTGTTGTCATATTCTCAATTAACTTAATAATATGAAACATTAATTATATCATATTATTTATTAATTATATTATGTCAATTATGTCTCCCTGACGTCACAATAATTTCATAATTAATAAAAATTATCTGACTTCACCACGAGTACTCGCTAACATAAGTCGCGAACTCCTGTATATCAACGTACGTACAGGAGAGGAAGAAGATGACTGTGAAGATATATTTGAATTCATATTTTATTCGCTTGAAAAATGACATATTTTCTCATATCTAGATCCTTATCTTTTTTTTACGTTTTATAGTTTAGTCATTCTCTTTACTCCTTCAAAGTCCTACCACTAAGAGTATGTTCAAAATCGGGTACCCATGTTTTCGGGTATTTGAAATACCGGGTACCAAAAATTTTTGGGTATCAAAATTTTGGCCCGTGTCCCAGCCCATTACATACAAGTACCCGTAAAACTTGGGTACCTGTATTTTCGGGTTACGGGTACCCAATTTATAATTTTTTTTATTTTTAGAATTATATTATTTTTAATATATATATATATATAATTTCTAAATTTTAAATTTAAAGTTCTATAATATATAATTCACACATAAAGTTCAAAATATCAAATTACATAATTGAAAAAAATAAAAAATAAAACAAAAATTATAATTAAATTTCAAATATTTCGAAGTTAGAATAAATATTTTAAAAAATAATTTTGAATGTTAATGTGAAATAATTTAAGAAATTAAAAATTTAGAATATTATGGTGCCAAAATTTAAGAAATTAGGAATTTAGAATGTTAGAGTAAAATAATTTGAGAATTATAAATAAAAATTTAATAAAAATATATATATATATATATATATATATAATAATAATAATAATAAAATGGGTAGTGGTATGCAGGTGCCGGGTACCCAGTTAAACTACATTTTGTTATATTAAATTGAAATTAGGACCTAACTAAAAATTAAGAATTAAAGTTAATCTTGGTGATCAAATTGATTAATTCTAAAATCTAGGAGATTTAATCTACAAATTTAATACATGATTAGATTAAAAGATTTTAAAGTTAATGCTCAAATTAAGGCATTAAACAAATTAAAAATAAAATCAGGATCAAGTTTGAATTAAATGAAAATCCAAGAAAACAAATCATATACAAGTAGTGACCAAAATGGAAGAAAACAAAGTAGGTGTCAGCGCTGCAAATACATAACTTTAGAAGATCCCATACCCTAATTATACCAATTTTTAACTACCACGTCCTTTAAATGTTAATGTCGTGTGGTCATTTTGAACTCATTTAAATAGTTTAGTGATATATTTGTCACAATTTTGAATATGATGGTCATTTCGTGACAAACCCATAGTTATGTGATCATTTATGTAGTTTACCCTAGAAATTACTCGATTTTTTGTTTGTTAAAATCTCCATGTTTATAAGGAATCGTGTACGATTCTGTATATTACATATACATGAGTTCCTTTTTTCAAAAGAAAAAAAAGAATGGGTCTGGTCTGCAAGTTAACAAATCATGTCTTCATGTTCAATTTATTTGATGAGAACACCATTAAAATTACAGGCTAGAAACTTTCGTGGTTTGGGGAAGAAATATGGGAAAATGGATAAATTGATATTTATCTTTGAATTATTTTGAGTTTATAAAAATATTAATAATTAATAGTTTATCCAATTTCTAACAGCATTAAACGAGTGAACTGAGCAATTTACACGTCACATCATAAAAAGTAACGATTATTGGTCAACGACAAAAATATTTATCAAAAGTCATATTAATTTTTTTTTAGAGTTTGAGCGTCAAAGGATGAGGCCTATATCATTTTTTAAGTTCGAAAGCCCAATTTGGGTGTTTTTTTTCCCTCTCTCTCTTCTATTAGAAACTTTATATAATGTCATATTTCGAATAAAAACCTACAAGACTATACGTGCTTATAGCAGAGGCAGGAAGATTATTTTTATGAAAACCAGCGGTTAAACCTCGTGTTCTGAGGAACCTGTCAGAAAATGAGCTGTCTTAAATTTTGTTTGGCAACCTTGTAAGTTGTAACATTATTATAATATGCTAGCATCACATGTAACTCGTTTGCAAGGGAATCTGTTTCTTTTCTCTCGTCTTTAAATTTTAAAAAACTCTTCAGTCTCCACTTCTTGCAACCGACCAGAAAAGCAAGAAAAAAACCAAACATGGCGGCGGCTTCACTCTCGGCCACCATTCCGATGAAGGACCCATTTTTATCAAAGACCACTGAATTTCTTCATTTCACCTCGAGGCAAAGCAGCATTATCAATACCAATATCGGGTCCAAAGCTAAGGAATTAGCTTTCAGATTCTCGAGCTCAAAGGCCTTGCACGTGCCCTTTGCCACCACCGATAAACCCAATGCAGCTCCGGCTCTCACGGAGACTTTCTCCCCGACCACCGCTTCCAAGTTAGTGTTCACAAATTGTTTGGAGAAAAAAGAACATTTTTTTGTTCTTGAATTGGGTTTCCTTTTACATTTTCTTTTACGGTTAGAGCTTGAGCTTGTGTTATTATTACCCATGTTCAGGATCTTGTGTGTTTCTTCCAGGGTGAAACGACATAAGATTTCGGTGATGGTCGGGGACTAAAGTGGAATCATAAACAGGATAGCGGGGTGTTTGGCCCAAGGGGATACAACATTGAGTCACTTGCTGTTGGTCTCAACAAGGACAAGGCTCTGTTTACCATCGTTGTCTCCGGGACTGACAAGATTCTCCGACAAGTCGCTGAGCAACTTCACAAGCTTGTTAATGTCATCAAGGTCATAAATCTTAACTTTTTTTTCACTACTTTTTTTCAACCATGATTTAGTTTTTTTAGTTTTTATTTTTTTAGTATGTTTGTATTGCATGTTTTAAGGGGTGGAAAAGAAAGGAATCATAGAAAGGGAGCTAAATGATTTAGCTTTTTTTGAGCATGTTTTTGTTCATTGTTTAGTTAAAACCGAACTAACGGATCGAACCGGAATTTAGTTCACTTAATCTATAAAGTCACCAAAATATAGGGTTGGGGAATTGTTAAAATAAAATTCAAAATTTGATTATCGATTAATTAATCAAAATTTTATTATATAACTAATATAATTCAATTGTGAGCTTAAATGACCCATGATATTTATAAACTCCATATTGTATTTTAATCTCAATATTAAGTCTAACCCAAAAGGATAATAAAGACTAGAAATAAAAAATATCTAACAAAAGAACTCATTTTCAATTTATTGCTACATTCACTATTTTGAATCGAAACTAAAAAAATTATTTAAAAATATCAGTTAATTTGAAAATTGATCAAATTAATCAACTTAGTTTGATTCGATTAATAATTTTTGAAAAAAAACGATTCAAATAATGGTTAAAATTTTAAGAGTTTAGTTAATTCAGTTTTGAGTTGTTTAGTTCGATTATTAATTGAACCGATCGTTTGAACACTCTCAATATTTATAGTAAAGTGACACTAAGGAAAGGAAAAGAAAAATGGTTATTATTATTGTTAAGGTGTGGAAATGGTTCAGTTTCCTAATTGTTTTCCATTCAAGTATCGTTATTGATGGAAATGGGTCGAATAATATTATGTTTTAATCAGGGATTTAAATAGCAGTCGATAACATTTGTTATATCGCGACCGTGACGACCTCCAAAACTGATATCACAAAAAATAACGGTGCGAAGCGGAATCACACCAATAGCGATGGGTCGCGACTGCTATTTAATGGGTAACAAGTGGCCAATCACAACAATAGCGAACTGCTATTATGCTATTTTATTTTTTAAATAATTTTTTAAAAAAGGTTCAACTTATTTAGAATAAAATTACGATCGATACCCGCAATGACCACAATAACATATGTATATTCGCAACACGACCGAAAATACAAAAGCCACCACAATTTGAATCTCTGGTTTTGATCTTTCCCACTTTGATTCGTGATTTCCATACCTCCAACGGGGCAAAATCGTGAGATAATGGTGTGGAGAAAAAAATTATTGAGATAATGTTGTTGGAGAATTATTTGCTGAGATAGGGCGTTTGCTACAGTTCGAACGTTGGTCGCCAAGTAATCCGGCGATGAAGGAGGTCGCCAAGCCATCCCTGCGACCTGTGCATGCGCCATGCACGCCAACTACTGCATATTCATGCTTGAATCTTTAGAATTTCAACATCTTTAATATAATATTCATGCCATGGCTTCCACGTGCATGGCTTATTATTTTATTAGATTTATTTTTTATAGTATTATTTTTATTAAATGATATATGTTTTTATTTTATTATTATATTAACATTGATATTTTTTTATAGTATTGATATATGTTTTTTTTACTTTTTAAAATTTTTGAATTATTTAATCAGATTTGTTTTATAATATTATTTTTATTATTAAATGATTAATTTTTATTATCTAATGATTTAAAAATAGCCTATTAATATATTATTATGTGTTTATTAATCTTAGATTGACTACCAAAACTGTGATGGTTTGTATAAAATAGATTGCCTATTAGATTGGGCAAAATTCTTGAGATAATGATGTGAAAAAAATTATGAGATAATGATATGTTGAAGAATTAATTGTTGAGATAGGGCAATGGTATGTTGAGGGCAATGAAAGGGGTAGAGGATGGTGTATCTACCATGATGGTGGTTACATTTGTTTTTTATAAGAAGAAATTGATTGGAGGGAGAATGTTTAGTTTAGGGTTTAGTGTTTAGGGTTTAAATTTTAGGTTTTAGGGTTTCAATAACAACTAAATATTTTTAGGGTTTAAGGTTTACAATCAATAATTACTGATATTATTTGTTGTATATTGATTTGGAAGCCTAAACCCTAAAATATTTGGTTATTGCTGAAACCTTTATAAGTTCATGGTATGTTGAGGGCAATGAAAGGGGTAGAGGATGGTGATACCCATGATGGTGGTTACAAATTGTTTTTTTTATAAGAAGACATTGATTGGAGGGATAATGGTTAGGATTTAGTGTTTAGGGTTTAGAATTTAGGGTTTAGCGTTTAGAGTTTTCAACAATAAGCAAAATTTTTAGGGTTTAGGGTTAAGGTTCACAAAATCAATAGTTCCTTATATTATTTATTGTATATTTATTTTGGAACCTTAAACCCTAAAATATTTTGATTATTGCTGAAACCTTTATAAATTCATGATATGTTGAGGGCAATGAAGGGGGTAGAGGATGGTGATATCTACCATGATAGTGGTTACATATTGTTTTTTATAAGAAGAAATTGATTGGAGGGAGAATGGTTAGGGTTTAGGGTTTAAGGTTTAGGGTTTTTAGCAACAACCAAAATATTTTTAAGGTTTAGAGTTTAAGGTTTAAGGTTCACAAAATCAATAGTTACCTATATTATTTGTTATATTGATTTGTGAACCCTAAACCCTAAAATATTTTAGTTGTTACTAAAAACCCTAAACCCTAAATCCTAATCATTCTCCTCCAATCAATTTTTTTCTTATAAAAAACATCTGTAACCACCATCATGATAAATATCACCATCCTCTACCCCTTTCATTGCCCTCAACATACCATTGTCATATCTCAGCAATAATTCTTCAATAACATTATCTCAAGATTTTTTTTTCACATCATTATCTCAAGAATTTTACCCAATCTAATAGGCAATCTATTTTATACAAACCATCACAGTTTTGGTAGTCAATCTAAGATTAATATCACATAATAATATATTAATAGGCTATTTTAAATCATTAGATAATAAAAGTTAATCATTTAATAAATAAATAATATATATAAAACAAATCTGATTAAATAATTCAAAAATTTTAAAAAGTAAAAAAATATCAATACTATAAAAAATATTATGTTAATATATAATAAAAAAATATATCATTTAATAAAAAAATAATACTATAAAAACAAATCTAATAAAATAATAAGCCATGCACGTGGAAGCCATGGCATGAATATTATATTAAAGATATTGAAATTCTAAAGATTCAAGCATGAATATGTAGGTAGTTGGCGTGCATGGCGACCTACAGCCATGGCGCATGCACAAGTCGCAGGGATGGCTTGGCGACCTCCTTTATCGCCCGGACCACTTGGTGACCAACGTTCGAACTGTAGCAACACCCTATCTCAGCAAATAATTCTCCAACAATATTATCTCATGAATTTTTTTCTCCACACCATTATCTCACGATTTTTGCCCCTCCAACGGATACTTGACATGATTTTAAAAGAATTTCACCTACCCGAGTGAAAACTAGCCCTAACCTTATCCTACCTGACATCAACCATCCAACCCTAAATAAACTATAAGAAAAAGCAAAAAAACTTGCAAAAACAAAAAGAAATTAGTTAAAGTAAAAAAGAAATTAGTTAAAGGTGGAAATAAAATCTAAAAATAGAGAACAAAGTGGAAAATCAGGCGTACCTACCTTAAATTTTACTAATAATGTCATCTTGAAATTTTATTTATACTTGTCCCATTTAAAAAATTTATATTGTTATTATAGTCACCTTGAAATATATTTATGCATCCTCAGATCAAGTATGCAATGCGAGTTGATCTGATTTAATCAGGGTGAAGTAATGGGAACGGGAGGGCAACAAAAAAAAAAGAAAAAAAAATCATTTTTTGGCATGATGGTTTCCAATGATTGAGGGTTGTTTTCGATGACCCCAACGGTGAGTAGACTCATATTGGTGAGTGGAACAATATAGTTTTATTTTGGCTTGATCTAATGATGATGGAAGGAGATCAGAAACAAGGGGAAAACACTATTGGCTAGATTTGTGGACGTCGGAGTATTTTCTGTTGAAACAAACATAGTTTGGAATTAGGAAGCTTGAAAGGGTTGTTAGGAAATTTTGGAGATCAACCGGTGACAACGGCCAATGCTCGATTGGTGTGGCGGTTGGTGAAGATTCTAGGGCTTCAATAATTAGAGTATAGAGAAATATGAAGGAAAACAGAGATTGAAGAAGGAAAATGAATAATTGAAAGTAAAATGTGTATTTTATAGTAAAGTATTTTAGGTTGGTCAGATATTTTTTATCACTCTGACTCAAATCTAATTACACCTCTCCTAAAGTAGACCCACCCCGCCCAAACTTGATTTCTAAAGGCAAAAATTTGATCCTATAGAGTCGAGTCGGAACCGTCAAGCCTGGTCACATACACATCTCTAAGTACTGCTAGCATTGATTATTAGAATTCTCGAATTTTCTTCCTTTGCTTGGGGGTGTTAAATCAACAAACATAGAATTTATTTGCTTGGCTCTAGAATTTATTATTACCTTGTTTAACAGGTAGACGATATCTCAATGGAACCACATGTAGAACGTGAATTAATGCTTATAAAACTCAACTCCAATCCATCCACTCGTGTCGAGGCATCCTGTTGTTTGGAAGCAAGTATTTATCTGTTCGCTTCTAAATTTGTATTATTTGGAAAATCTTCTCTTAAGGATTATTAGGAACCTTGATTTCAATTATATTCCTTTTTCTACATCTGGACATTCAGTCTTCAATTTGTACTAATCTTTTTAGAAAATGTGGCTAGCCGATATCTTCCGAGCAAGCATTGTGGATACTTCAGTTTATCTTCTAATATATCATTTTGGCAGTTAGACATATTTACTTTTAAAGAGACGAAAGTTAAGGTGATATGACTTTAATGAACCCTACGCATTCGTAGAAAATCGAATTCAGTGTCCTTTTGGTGCAAATTATAGCTTGTTATATGGTAATGCTGAAATAGGATTCCTGGCATCTTGTTACAGAATCACAAGAAAAAATGGTCTTTACATTTTGGAGCTTTTTTGTTCATCTATTACATTTTAATGCATGTGCACATCTGAGGTTACCGAAGACCCAGGAAAGATGGAAGCTGTTCAAAGAAATATGAGCAAGTTTGGGATAAAAGAACTTGCGAAGACTGGGAAGGTATGAAATTCCTGCAAACTTGTATCAATATTTCCTTGAAGCACAAAATAGTTTGTGCATGGGATTCGATAGAAAGTTTTGATATTAGCATTTTAGAGCACGGTTGGAGTAACTGGACCCTCCATCATGTTACGGAACATAAGTCTGTGTGCTGTGTTGAGTACCCGTGAAAGGGAGCATTAACTGGTGCTATCAACTGCTATAAAGTCTTCAGTGTCTTGAGTCTCTCACTTTTCCAATATTTTAAGTCAGATGCCTAACACACATTACACTAGTGTCGTTTTTTTGTGAACTTACTGTAAATGTGAAAGTTTCATTGAATTATACCAATGTACAACGATGGACCTTTGAGAGCTATCGAGCTATCAAATCGTTATGTCACTAAGATTTTGAACATGTCGATCGTGATAGATGTCTGAGCGTGAAAAGATGGGGAAACTGCTCCTTTTTGGGGATTTTCTGCTGCTTCTTATCCAGATCTTGAGGTAGATCAACTAATGGTGGAGTTATAAGGGATGCAAAACTGCTAGTTGGTGGTGATGCCAATTCATACTCGAAGGTATGCACATTTTTCTTCTACTTGGAACGCCTTGCATGTCATTCTCATGCATGCCTCTTTCAGTTTGTTTTTTTTAAGAACTCAAATAGCTCGAACTATTTA